AGATATTACCTGAGATGATTCACCCAAAATTGGTAGACCTGTGGCAAACACGCTTACCTGAGCTCCTGCAGCCTCTGGAAGGTACAAGGTAGTGGGATCAGGTCCTTACCCAATGAAGCAAGAGCATGAAGAAATTATGCACCATTTCTCTGTGTAAAGCCATTATTGCTCATTTTAGGCAATAAAAACAATGAACTTGATGTGCAAGGTAGACAGCTATGTTTTTTTCTTTGCTCCTTGTGTTCTATTTCTCCACCAACATTCATGCTGTGAGAAGACCTAGTGGGTAACATTATCAGAAGGAATTTTTACTTTTACTTTGGTCTTTTTCCTGTAACTAGAGAAACTCACTTTTAATATTTTTCTAAAAAGTTATTACTCTTTCATGTTAGAATGTCAAAATCTGGTCATTTCAGTAGTTACTATTGAAATTATCAAAAAGTCTAGATTTTTATCATGGATTGAAGACCTTCTCTCCACCTGACTAGTATTCTAAAGTTGCCAGCATAGAAAATTTGATCTCAAATAAACATTCTGAGCATGGAGAAGCTTGAAATGGGATTCCAGCACCCCAAGGCAAGGGAGAATTTGAGTATTGGATTTTTTTACAGTTATTGCATCAATTTTTATTTCTAGGAAAGAACACCAGTATCGTGCTATGGGAAACCATGCTGCTTCAGGTAAGGGTTACTTCTAGAATAATTGTTGATGATGGGGTGATGAAATCAGCCAAAGTTACCCATCCTAACTAAAAAGAACTAGTACCCAAAAGGTAGTAAATAACATTTATTTTTCTTGGGAAAAGGACTAGAATGTTAGAAGTGATGTCTTAAGGATAATGCTCTTTAAATCACCATAATTTGAACAGCAATCTTAAGCTTTCAATTTGATTAAGAATCTAAGACAATTTGGAAGACTCACTGAGTAATATTTTTCTCTGTGTCTTTCTTAAATCTTCTTTAATTTTCAAGTATGTTTTTCCTCTCCTTGCAACTACATTCTTTTACCATCACATACCAAGTTGTATGGTTGTATTTACCATACAACTTCATTTCCTCCTCTATCTGCTGCTCTCTTTTTCCTGATTTCTAAAAACCAAAGGGCCACATCGTATCCCTTTTCCAGAGAAAAAAGTCTCCTCTCTCACCCATAAACTTTTTGGACCTTTACAAATAAACAGTGCCACAGACAATACAAAGTGCCAAGAATGGTGAATTGCAGACAGGAGCTGGGCATCAGCTTTACAGAGATTTTGACTTCAGGAACCTTCAGGAGGTCAAAGAGCCCACAGACAAGGAGATTGTAACATGAGTTTCCACTTTATAAGCCACTAACATAGGAATGGCCTGAGGCTTCTTGAAGTGTCAATTTTCAGTGCCTTCTCCACAGCACCTCCCCTACCTCCTATCACCTCCTCTTCCAGAATCAGAATCTCTGGGGATGAAACCTGAGAACTGGCATGTTTTCAGGGCTGCCACCAATGATTCTCACCCAATATAAATACTAAAAATGACTACTCCACTCCCCTGGTCCTCACCTATAGGATCCACCTCTCCTTCTGGTTCTATGCTTCCTTTATCTCCTCCTCCCTCTGTCAAAATCGTACCAGATTTTCCCCTGCCACCATTTTAAAATAATTGTTTTTACTAGAAGGAATTTTTTTCCCTCTACTGGGAAGGCTTGAAAACAGTCCCTTTTCCCTTTCCAATGTTGAGTATATGTCTGGTCTTTTTTTTCCAAAACCGTCTACACATGACTTCTACCCTTAAACCTCCAAAGCTGTTTAATTTCTTTTCTTTAAAGGACCCACTAAATGAGCTCCT